AGGAGTGAGAGTGTGAGAGAAAAAAAGAGGGAGGGGGAGTCAGAGTGAGAGAGAGAAAAAGAAATAGAAGGAGAAAAATAATTTTTTATTTTAGAAAGGGATGCTATGATTTTTTAATATACATGAAACTTTTTCTCTAGCTCTGAAAAGTTGAATTCTCACTCTTTTATGGGAATGCTTTTACGAAAAAGTGGGATAAAAATGGTTTTTGAAAAACTATATTATTGGGAATCTTTTTTTTTATATATATAAAAAAAATAGCTACCAAACATAAGAAATTAAGATTCTCGCTTTGAGATTTTTATTTTTTCTCTTTCTCTCTATCTTCCTCACTCTCACTCCCCTTTTCTTCCTCTTTATCTCCCTCTCCTTCCCCCTCTCTCTTGTTCTCTCTCCTTCCTCTCACTCTCACTTCTCCCTTTTGCATCTCTCTCCTTCTATTTCTCTTTCTCCCTCTCTCTCTCTCTCACTCCCCTTATCTTTCACTCTTTTCCATCCTCTCTCTCCCTAGCATGTTTCTCTCTTTATCTCTCTCTTGTATCTCATTATCTTATCAATTTTAATAATATTATTAAAGTCTATTTTTCTTTTACAGTTTAATGGTATTTGTTAACACTTTTTTATTTTTTATTTAATGAAAAGAAATAATATATTTTATTTTTCTTAATTATTATGTAGCATTTTTCTTTGTTTATTACTTTTGTTAAATTCTATATTTAAATAATATTAACTATAAATTTTTAACTTTTAAAAATAGTTTAATGTCATATTTGTAATAAGATTTGAATAAGTAAATATATCTTATTAGTTTATTTTAATAAAGGATATTTTTGTAAAAAATATTTATATACCCAAGATAAAAATGTTTAATTCTCAAAAATATTGTATGAATATTTTCATGAACCTTTATGAGTACCCAAATAAATTTTAGCTATTTTCAGGAATCATAATTCTCAGAATTTATAATTCTAAGGAATTACGATTTATGAGTATGAAAAAACTTTTTCCCTACCAATTGTTCCCTAAGAGTAACTCTTTGTAAAGTCACTTTACTCAATAATTTATGATCTACATTGGATTTTGTAACATTAAATTTTGTTAATATTTGTTGATTTTATTAATTTAATTGTTGTTGTGATTAGTTGTTTAATAATTGTATAACTCCAATGACTAAGAAATTCTTATGAGTTTAGTAGTTTAAAAGTTGTTTTAAGCTAAGGTCATGTTGACTAGTAAAGAATGATATATAAGATTTTCCTTAAAACTTGTTTCTAGAGCCACAATTTCTCCTTCTTCTTTTGAGTCATCTAAAGTGTTGTAGGATCCTTCCCTTGAGAGATTTTATTGTTGGTTGATGATTTGAAAGCTCGAAGTTGAGAATCAAAGCTTTGTAGTTGTTGTGTGGAGTTAACTTGAGAGATTCTATTGTCTTCTTATTCCTCTATTCTAGGCGGCTAGAGATAAGGGAAACTTATTAATTTGTTGATTTTGAAACGTTGTTGTTTTATGCTTTAATTAATTTGTTGATGGTTGTCTCTATTGAATTTAAGAAAAAAGATTACTTGTTTTGAGTTCTTGTATTGTTTTTGGAGTATGTTGGGAGAAGATTGATGATTTTTAAGTGGCTAATGGTTGCATGTGGATTCTTTTTGTAGAAATTGACTTGTTTGAAGTGTGTATATGTGCTATTGGTAGTTGCATGTTGCTTAGATTTGCTGAATTTCAAGTTTTGGGTCGAATCAGTGATTGTGTCAAGTGTTGAAATCATTATTGCTTCAAGTGTTTCTTCATGGAGTTGGGTAAGATGTAGGCTAGAAGTTCTCAGTTTGATTGATGTCAACACATGATTGGTAGTGTTAGATGTGAGTTACTAATAAACATTGTTACTAATTAGTAAAATATACCACAAACTCTCTGTATTGGAGATGATCTAACAATAACAAATGACATTGTAAGAACCTTTTATATATGAGTGTAATAAAGGGTGGTCATGTTTGAAAAAAGGGTAGTGCCTGAGCCTATTATAACAATTGATAAAGAATGTTATAATTAGATTTAATTTTTCGTACCCAATAATCCAACACAATCCAACCTATTATTGGTTGGGTTGGTTCAGGTTGGGTTTGAATTTTTTTACAAACCCAACCCAAATTATTTTAATTGGATTGGATAACAGGTTTGATGAAACTCAACCCAAACCAACTCATGAGTACCTCTATTTTTATCTAAACATATCTTTTAAATTTTTTAATAAACAAACCATATTTATTTTTCTAAAATTTAATAAATGAATAGTTTAATAAATATTTATTATTATTTGATAGTGTAGATGTTTTAATAAATTGTTGGTTTAAATATGTTTCTAGTCCCTCAAATTTAGGTTAATTCTGTTTTTGGTCCCTCAAATTTAAAATTGTTGTTTTTAGTCCCTGTAATTTCAAAAAATCTTATTTTAGTCCTTATATTCAAATTTTGTTAAAAAATTTATCAAACATTATTGTATAAAATCTACCTATTAGTATCCCTATCAGTGAAAATATCACATTAAATCCTGTTGATGTTGCATAACTGTATTAATTAGTCACTTTCAAATATGTTATTAGTGACATAAGGGACTAAAATAAAATTTTTGAAAATTACAGGGACTAAAAACAATAATGTTAAATTTGAGGGACAAAAAAAAATTATCTTAAATTTGAGGGACTAAAAACATATTTAAGCCTAAATTGTTTTATGGTAATTATTTTTTATTTAAAAATTTACCATAAATAACTTTTTATGATCAAATCACTGAATGATAGTATAAAAAATAGGTTTAACTGTATTTTTTATTTTTCAAGTATCGCATTTATGCAATTTTAATCCCTAAGATTTTAATTGAATAATTTTCGTCTCTTAACTATCTTGATTGTGCGATTTTAGTCCTCAAAATTTAATTAAATAATTTTAGTTATTTAAGTATCACAATTGTACAATTCTACTTCCTTAAATATCATAATTATACAATTTTGGACCTATTTAAATTATATAAACTATAATTTTAATTCATGTATTAATGATATATATATATATATATATATTTATTACTAAAATTAATAATATATGTAACTTAAATACATAATAAATTGTATAATTATAATTATTATACTTGATTGACTAGAATCACACAATTGTCGTACTTGAGGAATTAAAATTGTTTGATTGAAATTTAAGAGACTAAAATTACACAACTACCATATTTGAGAAAGTAAAATTGTTTAATTAAAATTTGAAATACTAAAATCGTACGACTAGGGATGACAAAAATACTCGCACCCGCGGGTATTTGTGGATAAAATCCGTTACGGATAATAAATGGATAGACTAATTGGCACCCGCGAATAATGGGGATGAATAATTTTTACCCGTTTATAAATGGGGCGGGGGCGGGTATGATGGTATTCATACTCGCGGGTACCCGTTTAATAACATTTCTTAAATATCTTAATTACTCTTGTACCATTAAGATGAATAATTTGATTAATTTTCTAGCTTTGATTGAACCAATAAGATTTATGTACTTTAAGTTGTTTACTTACGTTTGGAATTATGAGATTGAATTATTGTAACTTTATGATATGAGACTTTTACTTACTTGTGTGATTGATGTATTTTAAGTTATTGATTATCTTATCTTTTTTGTTATTTCAACAAAATTAAAGTTAATTATAAGTTCAAAATTAACATTAAATTTTTTATTTTTAATATTTCAATGACATTAAATATAAACTTAAAATTATTTATAATATAATTTTTAAATTTCTTAAAAAATTTATAAATATACATGGATATCCACTAGTATTCAAGAAATTCATGGATACTCGCTTAATGGATACCCGCGCGGATATGGAACGAATATGGACCAATTTTCCTCCGGCGGAGCGGGGACGAGTTTACTATTACCCGTCCCACGGGGCCTCATTGTCATCCCTACACACGATTGTCATATACAAGAGACTTAAAAACGTATTTGAACCTAAACAATATTTATAATATCAAAAGATATATTATTAATTACAAAAAATGGATATATTATGTATTTATAAATTTAAATAAATATTTCATACTTTCATTTTATATATTTTTATTACAAAATTGTCAAATTATTTTTAATTTATTTGATATTTTTAAATATCTTTATAGAGAATCATGAAAATATATTTTTTCTTTCCATTTTTCTATTTTTATACAAATATTAAAAACAGAAAACAAATTAGCAACTTTATAATTAAATATTTTTTCTGACAAAAAGTTATAATCCGACTATTAACAAAAAATCCTTTCTCTTAAAAAAAAAAATCCTTCTTTCATATACAATTTTTGATTAAACCATTTTATCTTTTCTACTATAAATAATTATCAATTTTATCTTAACTTTTTCACTCTCATTTTTTTATTCAAATAAAATACATAAAACCACACCTATTACTTATTTTTCACCAGTTTTTTTTAACACGAAACAAAAATAAATTAGCAAACACATCTACACCTAAACAAAATAAACAAACAAATGCATCAATGAATAATAATAAATATCTAAAAGACTTATACATTCCTACTCAAAACCAGTAAGAACTCTCGTGTTGGAGTAGATCTATACCTATATATATACAAAACAGATTTCTTGTTTTATGTTATTGTCGACAATTTTAAGTTTTTTTACTGTACAATAATAATTAACAAAATTGGAAAAAAAAAATTAAATATATAATTTTTTTTTAAGAAAGTCACACGAATTGTCTTTTACCGCAAGTACATATAATACTATATTCAAACATGTTAGCGTGCCGAAATTTCGATAGATTTATAAAGGAAAAAAAAAAAAAAAAAGAAACAATGGCAAACTTGTAAATTGTTAGCATTGAAATGTCAAAGTTGAAGGTGGATTGCGTCAGCTTGATTAACAACAGGCAAACCGGGTAAGAAAACCCGCGCTTTCCTTGTTGGAAACTGGAATTACGATTCGCCATGTTCCATGTTGCTGCTTCACACACCACTATATATACATTCACATTGGAGGCGTGAGTCACGTCTCAGTCTCACTGACACCATGACGACCGCTCTCACCGGTTTCCGGTTGGTGGCGCAGCAATTCCGAGTGCTGCTGAAGAAGAACCTCTTGCTCTCATGGCGGAACAGGAAAGCGAGCCTTCTGCAGCTGCTATCCCCTTTGCTCTTCACCTTCCTCATATTCGCAATCGACAAAGCCATCAAGGCTCAGACCTCAACCTCTTCCGCGTACAAGAGCGTCACCGACCCTCCCTCCCAACCCTCTCCCTCCATCACTCCCTGCGAGCACAAGTTCTTCATCAAAAGCCCCTGCTACGACTTCGTTTGGAGCGGCGACGCCAAGTTTCGCACCATCGTCGACCGCATCATGAACAACAACCCTGGCAGACCCATCCCTCCCTCCAAGGCACCCTCACCGAATACTGAATGATTCCGATTCAGATTCAAATTCAAATTCAAATTCAAATTCAAATGATTATGACTGTTGCGCGCGTGTTTGTGTGTGTGCAGGTGAAGTCCTTTAGGGACAAGAGTGAAGTGGATGCGTGGCTTCTCGATAACCCTATGCGTTGTCCAGGGGCTCTTCATTTCGCGGAGAGAAACGACACCGTTATAAGCTACGGCCTTCAGACGAATTCCACTAGTCTTCCGCTGCGAGGGAAGTACGAGGACCCTACTTTTTCGTTCCAGCTCCCTCTTCAGCTTGCCGCTGAGCGTGAAATTGCCAGATACCTTATTGGAGGTGTCAAAATTCTAAATTCGAACTTCGAAATTCAAAATTTATATTATTCGATTTTGTTTGTGTTTTGGGCTTTGGATTTGATGAGTTGGTGAAAATTCAGATGTGGGATTCAGTTGGAATGTGTTTCTGAGGGAATTCGCGCACCCTAGCATGAGTCCTTTCTCTGCCGTGGGATCAACGGGTCCCGCCTTTTTCCTTGCCATCGCCATGTTTAATTTTGTTCTTCAGATGAGCTCTTTGGTGACGGAGAAAGAGCTTAAACTTCGTCAGGTACAAATCATTCTTGTGTATTCACCTAAAAGCATGCTTCATTCACATCTAAACACATCTTCAAAGGTGTTATAAACCCTCTCGGTACTAAGTTCGATTACCATGAATAATAATTAAAAAAACTTGTGTTGCAGTATTGGCTAACGTGGTTTTAAGTTAATGTTTTTATGTTTGATTTCATAGTGAGAAGTTGGTAGTGGATCTAAAGTTGATTTTCAGTTGAAGCAACTTTATGTAAATTTTGGGTTGAATAAAAAGGTTTATACTAAAGTTTACTAGCACTAACTTGCTTTTAGAATGCAACCAAATCAATTTTATGCAATTAATCTCTAGCATTTTGGATACACATCATGAATGGGTAAAATTATGCTCGATTCATGAAAAACATTAGCAAGAAATGTGAGCTTCAACCTTTAAGAGTGACGTGTGTCATGGACCTTGGACACAAGACCAAACACTATTCATTCAAAATTGATTTTGCAAACACTCGCCTAAACACACACGTAACTGCCGCTTAAACTTTTAGTATAGATGGTTTAGGTCCACAGCCCTGTGAAATTGCCACCGTTTTACAGTTGTATTTGTGTGGTTTTTTGTTTGTGCAGGCAATGAATATGATGGGCCTTTATGACTTTGCTTACTGGTTTTCCTGGCTCATTTGGGAGGCAGTTGTCACAATCCTATCGTCTCTACTCATAGTTCTCTTTGGAATGATGTTCCAGTTTCAATTTTTCTTGAAAAACAGTTTTTTGGTCCTGTTCTTTTTGTTCTTCCTATTTGAACTTAACATGGTGAGAATATTCATGGATTCTTCTAGGTTTACTGTTTACACCTTCTGCTTGTTCATTGGGATTTGTATAATGTGTAATACTAATATGGCTTCCCTTTTTATTTTAGACTGGCTTGGCCTTCATGTTATCTTCTTTCATTCAGAAATCATCTTCGGCAACAACAGTGGGCTTCTGTATATTTATTGTGGGCTTTTTGACTCAGGTAAGAATCCATTTCATTTTTCATGTTATCTAGACACGGCTTATTTAGAAGAAGAAATGCTCATTTTCTTTTGTCCGTTGCTTTTTATGCAGATTGTGGTACAAGGAGGATTTCCTTATAAACATAGCTTCTCCAGTACTATACGAAACGTGTGGTCGTTATTCCCACCTAATCCTTTTGCTCAAGGCATACAAGTGCTTTCAGATGCTGTTGCAACATCTGAAGACAATGGTGTTAGCTGGAGTAAACGAGGAGAATGTCCCCTTACTGATGACGACTGTGTGATAACTATTGTATGCAATGATTTGACCTCTAAATCCCTACACCATAAACCACTACATTTTAAGAAGCCTTTTTGTTGCTTTTCCCTTTTACTTTCTGTTCCATAGTTCTATTTTGCTTTGATTCCTCCCTTGCCTTAGCTTTTAGTTGTGTCCCTGCGACAGTTGCTCAGTATTTTTTCTTTTCATTGACAGGATGATATTTATAAATGGCTTGCGGCTACATTCTTTCTCTGGTTTGTTCTGGCCATTTACTTTGACAATATAATCCCCAATGCATCGGGTGTTAGGAAATCAATATTGTACTTTCTAAGTCCCAGCTATTGGACGGGAAGAGGAGGTCAAAAAGTGAAAGGTTATTAATGTTGTGATTTAACTTGGTGTTTTTTTTATTTATTTTTTCCTTCTCTTTTTGGCTTAAGTACTTTTTCTCCGTCTCCTTGTCATTTTGTAGAGGGTGGGGTTTGTAGTTGTGTAGGTTCAACCCTACGTCAAGAACAAGGTACACCAGATGATGAAGATGTACTTGAAGAAGAAAACAAAGTTAAGCAGCAACTAAGAGAAGGTCTGGTTGATGCAAATGTTGCTGTTCAGTTACATGGCCTTGCAAAGACATATCCTGGTACACTTAACTTTGGTTGCTGCTGTAAATGTAAAAGAAGTTCTGCTTACAATGCTGTCAAGGTAAAGCATTTCTTATTAAAAACTTTATCCTTGAAGTTGGGGTGGTTAGAAGAAAACTTCTTGTTCCTCTGCCTGATTGCGTGCAACAATTTTTTCATTGTTGAGGCCTGTTAGATATAAAACCTTTCTGGTCCATTCTCCTTATAGCTTAAACTTCTTGGTTGGGATAGTTAATTCATGATATGATATTAGAGCTTCTATGAGCGAGCAGTCATGGTTAGATTGTTATTCCCCATTCTTCTCATTAAAAGTGAAACCTCAGGAGTCATGATTAGGCAAAGATGGGTCTGTGCATATGCTTCAAGCTCAAAGGGCTCTTGTGTCTTAGGCACCTGAGAATATTTGGTTTATGAAAACACTTTTGCCTAAGTTCTGGTGTAGTTCTATCGAGTAGTCATACAAACTCCAAACCGAACATGCAGAAATCTTCGCAGCTTGATTTCTTTTGGATCGTGATTATCAATTTGCTGTTTCTCAAACTTTTCCACTTGATTATATTATTTTATCGTAATATTTCACATATTTCAGGTTTCAATAAGGCTAACACGGTGGAAATTGACCTGTATTAGGATGATGATCAATGTGCTATTTTTAAATTATTTTCAGGGTTTGTGGGTGAACTTTGCCAAGGATCAGTTATTTTGTCTGCTAGGACCCAATGGAGCTGGAAAAACTACAGCCATTAATTGTTTGACAGGGATAACTCCGGTAACTGATGGAGATGGTGATACTCTTTATCTTTCTCTCCGTTTTTAACTACTGCATTGATCATTCATTAATCAAAATTACAGTAGTCTAGAAGAGTTTGTTAACATTTTCAATTTCGTTTAACAGCATTGATTTATGGACATTCAATCAGAAGCTCTACTGGCATGTCAAACATTCGAAAGCTTATTGGAGTATGTCCACAGGTGTTTATCACTCTCTCTCTCTCTCTCACACACACACACACCCACACCCCATCAATGACTAACCTACATTGGGATGAGGGTTTGCAAATGCACCCCTTCACTTTGAGAAAAATACATGTAAATATCTTAAAAGTTTATATTCTGCCCCTAATTTTATATATTTGAACCTAGTGTCCCCAATTTCTCGTTCATATAATGTATTTATTATATTTTTATTTAAGTATTTGATTTAAAAGTTTATTTATTTTATATATATTCCCTCACTAATTCAGGGCCTTAGGTCCACCACTGCACACCATTGATATGCTTTTCATGTATGGATGCATATCTTAGCACACTAGTAATGCATAAATATAATTTTCAAATGCAATAAATTTCTCTTCTCTTTTTATTAACATATATATATGAGTGATATGACTGACCTGTTGCTAAATTTTCTAATATACAGTTTGATATCCTATGGGATGCACTGTCTGGTCAAGAACACCTCCAACTCTTTGCTACTATTAAAGGCCTGACCCCAGCTTCCATAAAATCAGTATGTCTGCTCCAGCCCTGAAACTATTCTTTACAATTGATGATTATGTGTGCGCGAGCATGTGTCTAATATTTGAAATTACTAGCTATTTGGAATACTGCCTCTCATTCCTTATATTTAAGTTCTTCTGAAAAATGTAGATTACCCAGAGTTCATTAGCAGAGGTGAGACTCACCGATGCAGCCAAAGTGAGAGCTGGAAGTTATAGTGGAGGAATGAAACGTCGTCTAAGTGTTGCAATTGCCCTTATTGGTGACCCTAAGTTAGTCATTTTGGATGAACCGGTATGCACAGCAGGATATTCCTTTCGAGCATATATTCTATTGACATGATTTTAACATTTCAATTTAATTACGTAGACTACTGGTATGGATCCAATAACAAGAAGGCATGTGTGGGACATAATTGAAAATGCAAAAAGAGGGCGTGCCATTATTCTTACAACGCACTCTATGGAAGAAGCCGACATTCTAAGTGACCGCATAGGAATCATGGCTAAAGGAAGGCTTCGTTGCATTGGCACCTCAATCAGATTGAAGTCACGCTTTGGTACTGGATTTATTGCTAATATCAGCTTCTATGGAAACAATATTGAACGTAGTCCTGCCAATGGAGATGCAATATCTACAGAACATCGTGAGATTGTGAAGAAATTCTTTAAGAATGTGAGATGAATTAGTATGACGATTTACAATATTTCCATGGCAGAAAATTATTGGTTTTTAATTCCTGAAATATTTTGACAGCGTTTAGACGTAGTGCCAAAAGAGGAGAACAATAACTTTCTAACTTTTGTGATTCCTCATGACAGAGAGGCGCTCTTGAAGGTAAGCTTTCTTTTTTTGGTTGCATCCATTTCATTTAAATCTTCTCTAACACAGGGTTTAAATTTTGACTGTTGTTTAAATATTGATTGACATGGAAGCAGATCTTTATCGAAATTTTCTAGTTTAGGTTGACCCCCATTGGCTGAAATTTTTGCTGAGTCAAAACAGTTACTTTGGTTATGCTGATCATGTAAACTTCTGTATCTTTAGTCAGTTTCAAACTTGGTAAACTTATTGATAATTAATTAGAATAGACTGTAACTAACTTATCTCGTGTATTACCTGAGAACAGCAATACTTAATTTTAAATGGTTAAAAATCTGACAAATTCTTTGTTGCCTTAAAGGGAAAAAATGATTCATTTGTGCACTGTCTTTTTATAACTTGGGAGTATGTTTTTGGTTAGTTCTTTCTTCAAGAAAATATTTTAAATAAATCCAGTCTGTTTCTGTAATGTCACATATTATGATTATAATAAAAGTTAACTTCATATCTACATTCCCCGTGGACGTATAAGTTGCAATTGCAATCATCTGTGCATACTACATGTATTTGATATAAAGCTGAAAATTGTTTAGGTAACATAGAAACAGGCGGGCTCCAGTGTGCCCTATATATTAGTGAGAATTATGCGTAGCACACGTCAAAGGAGCCATAAACATAGATCGTGCTTAATTATATGGGTTATATTATCTTATTTTCTCTTGCTTCCCAAACAGAATTTCTTTTCGGAGCTCCAAGATAGAGAAGAAGAATTTGGCATATCTGACATCCAGCTTGGCCTAACAACTCTCGAAGAAGTTTTCTTGAATATTGCAAAGCAAGCAGAGCTAGAAAATGCTACAGCTGAAGGGAGACTAGTGACCCTTAACTTAACATCTGGGGAATCTGTCCAGGTCAGTCTAATAATATTTCGCTTTAGTTTTCTCTACAATCTACAGTGAGATGTATACCTCTCTAGAGGTTGAATTGTTTGATTCTATTAATTTCTCTAACACAAAGAGAACATAAAATACTTATTCATACCTTCGCTCGCACAATTGTCAAAATACTTTTTAGTTCAATATAAGTTGTAACTATGACAACTGGTCATTTTAAGTGGCTTTCGTCATTGTACAATTCGATAAAACCAATGATATGAACCAAATCAATTAGGTTGATTTATTTCTTTTTTCTTCATTGGATCAAATTCAATTGAAACCAATTAAATCTGACCTAAATTTTTACAGGTTTACACTTTACAAACCGATGATCCATTCAATCATTATCTTAATATTATTTTATAATATTATAATTTCATTAGTAACAAATAAGTGTAACAATACTATACTGCACTAACACTCTAATTGTAGTAGTTCTTTTATGATGTTATTTTATTAGTTACACTACACTCACTTACCAGTTACCATACAGTTCATACCTAGTAACATACTATACGTCCCCAAGCCATTTGACTTCGTCACTTTCTAACTAGTTTCCAAGTCATGGTTCACTTTGTCTTAGTCCAACCGTTAGACTAGATATTTAAAAAATATCTAACATTATTTTCACGTAATATATTATTTGTATATTAACATTCAAGTTAAGAAAAGAATGTGTGAAGACTACTTGGATAATAATTGTAACTTAGACAATTTAATTATCTTTGAGGGACTATTTTAGTTTAAATGTTGGAATACTTTAATTTCAAATGTTAAACTTTATTTAACTATCTTAATTTTATATTTCATACATTACTTTTTTATTAACGCTTGAATGTTATTTATACTCTTTTAATAATAGGTTTTTATAAACATTTTGAGATAAAATAATGCATTTTTATGTTTTAAAAAATAAATATCTATCATTTTAAAAAAAAATCGATTAAACCGAACCAAACCAACCTATTGTTGATTAGTTTGGTTCAAATTGTAAAATTTATTTTGATAAATCTGATCCAAACGAAATCAGTTAAAATTGATTAGTTCAGACTTTAGTTTATCCAAAATCGGTTCATGATAACCCCTACTCATGTTTTTTTTGCTGATTAATACAATAATCGTGCAGGTTCCTACAGGAGCTAGGTTTGTGGGTATTCCAGGAACAGAGTCTGCAGAAAGCCCCACAGGGTTTATGGTAGAAGTATACTGGGAGCAAGATGATACTGGTGCCCTATGTATTGCTGGCCACTCACAGAAAGTTCCTATTCCTCAAAGCGTTCAACCATCATCCTCTACTCCTGCAGCTGCAAGACACCGTAGAAATTTACGCCGGTCAGGACCAGTTCATGGGGTTGTGATTGATCCAAGTCAAGTTAGTTCGGTCCACTTTCAGTGATGCTGATGCATCATGCCAAAGGTATAGGGAGATGCTTCATGCCCTATTTTTATTTTTTTTATTTCTCACATGTATATATTATTTTGGTCACCTCTCACAGACCCTATGCCTAATGTATTCAATCTTTTTTACTAGGAAAATTATGCATGGACATCACTATACTAGATAACACCTATAGAGAGAAAGAAAGAAAAGAGAAAAATGTAGGTACAATAGATAATACATTGTGATAGGAAGAGAGAGAGAGAGAAATGATAGGTTTTAGTGTTTGTTATATAAGAGTGGTTATAAAAAAAAGTATTAGTGGTTATAAAAAAATTACCTTGTTTACCAATACTTTTCTACAATTTTTTTAATTTAATTTATCACATTTTTTTTATTTCTCTTTTTTATTTTTTGTAAATATATGTTGTTAAAATAATGTTACGAGAAAAGGGCAAAGTCAATTCAAGTTTGATTTGTACGTGTTTTTTTCCTGTTGGCACCTTGATTGGACTAGCATTTAGAATTAGTGAATGTTTGGAAACCCATAACAAAGCATGACTTCATGTTAAGTTAGCTACAAAACAAGCTCTAACTATCAATTTCTGGTTAAATGTGACAAATCACGTCAACGTGCAACCACACATGTGGTGAAACTATTTCCCCTATTTTAAAGAGTTATTTTTTATGATGTTAAATTACTTGATTTTAAGCCATTTGTGTTCAAATGACTTGTAATTTTGAATCAAAATTGAATGATACCATCGAGACTCCATTTTTGAACAAGGAAGTGCACAAGGTAATTGTTAAATTATTATGTATTCGATGAAATTCTATAATTTATATTATTAAATTATATGGTAAAACTTATTATAGAATAAAGAGTATATGAAGGAATTTTTAAATATAGTCCTTCAAAATTTTGAAGTTACTATTTTTTTCAAACATAAATGCTACACATTAAAAATTTTGAGAACAGAATAGAATAGCAATATGGAAATAATAATGAAAAAACAGTTCAAAGGATCATTTCATATGATAGAGTAATAAAGATAGCCCAAGATTAATTTTTAACCATTAAAATTGATATTTTTAAGTATAACTAATGTTTTGGACCTCGTCCTAAGGACCTTAAGTTTATATAAATAAGTCTCAAATTAATTATACATGTGGTTTACAGAAAAGAAAAAAAGTCTAAAATCCACCGAGTCAAATTATAGGACTATTAATCCAACGCCTATAAATTTCAAACAACCTTCTAACCTTGCATTGATCCCTACACAGTTGCCAAAATCGTGAGATTCACCTCTAATTTTATTTAACTAATTGTTTTTTTTTCTTCTTTTAGAAATATTTATGAAAAAACTTATTCAAAAACATGACTTCTAGTGTTGACTAGAAAGAAAATAAATAAATTTGTTTTTGATTTTATAAAAATTAATACTATAATTTTAGTTTTATATTTATTAAAATTAAAAATGATTTATTTTTAATTTTTTTGTCAAGGACTAAAAAAATGTTATTTTTTAATTAAATAAAAACTAAAAACATATTACAACTTAATTTTTATAGAGATTAAAATTAAATTTCATGATATTTTGAAGGAAGAAGAAAAAGATATCCTACCTTCACCAAAAATGTACCCTCCGTTGCGGCACAGAGGAATTCTGTTGACAGTTACCTTGAAGATAATAAATGGGAAGATAGGAAAATAAATCACTTTCCAGAAAAATAGGTGTATCCTGTCACAGTCACACTAATTTTATCCCTACATTTTGGTAGGCCACGTAATTAAATATATACAAAAGACGACCAATTTTGGTTGATAAATAGAGAGATTCACATTGTTTAACTAAGTAATCATATATTGATCTCGATTTTTATAAATAAAAAAATTAAACTAAGAATGTTTACTTGGTGGTTCCTGTCAAACTTTCCAGAGAGATTTATTCTTATGATAAATGAGAGGCTATTCTTTAGTAACAAATTAAAAACTTAAATAAAGTCTTTTAACTTTCGATCATTAAGTGTGTGTTTGATTTATTATCTGAAACCTACAAAATTACGTTCAACAGAAAAAATAAAAAATGTTATTTTTCAGTTTGATACTTTGGAATATGTGTTTACATGAAATTCAACGATAAACTAAACATGTTCTAAGATCCATTTGAATAAACAATTCAATTAAAATCTTATTTAATAAATTCTTAAATAATAAAAATTTATATTATAAATGCTTAAAATTCAATAAATAAATTATTTTAAAGTGTTTAAATATATTATTATTTAGACACTTATAATAATATATTTAAACAAAATCTTTTAACTTTTGATCATTAAGGTCCATTTAAGTAAACAATTCAATTAAAATTTTATTTAACAAGTTCTTAAATACTAAGAATTTATGTCGTGAATGTTTAAAATTCAATAAGGAAACCATTTTAAAGTGTTTAAATTTATTATTATTTAGGTATTTATAAGATCTTGTCTCATTTTAAAAATAAAAAAAGTACAATTTAAACCTTGACTGCAAATAAAATAAAAATTTCAAAAGTAACTAAATTTTTTTAAGTGAATATTATATATCACAATAATATTAAAAATAATAATAACGAATTGCTAGTCACCACTTACCATCTACCTAATTTTAGTTTATAAAAAATAAAATTAATAATAAAATATGAGAAATTAATTATATATATAATAGTAATTTAAAATTATGAAAAATAAATTTAAAAAAGAGAAGATGTTATATAATGATTCCAAAAAGACTTGAGTATTTGAATTTTGATTTCTGTAATGAAAACTATGTGATGAGAAACAATAATAAGTTGTAAAATAGTAATCGAAACCCCTGATATATATATAAAAAAATGAAGATATTACATAGCTTTGATAGAGAAATATCAAATAAAGTAGATGTGTCATGTGCTACTTAAAAAGGAAAAAGTTACGATAATTTTTTTTTATTTTTTAATTTTTATTTTTTTTATAATTTTTTTTATAACAAGGGAATGTGAATTTTGAAGGAAAGGGGTAGAAAACAATTTGAAGGGGAAGAGATTAAAAAAAATAGGAACAAAGATTTTTTTGGAGGAAGAAATGAAAACATGTTGAGGAAGTAATGAAAAAACAATAAAAATAAAAACTATTTATGTTAATGGCAAAATTCAAAGGTATTTTTCAATAAATTCAAAACATCTTATAAGTTGCTTATAAGATATTTTGTAAGCCAAATACTCGAATAAATATTTAAAGAATAAAATAAGTACAATATTCTGTACATAATCTCTTTCAAATGGATCTAAAAAATCTTTTAATTGAATTTCAAAATAAAATGATAAATTAAAGAATATAATTTCTATCGACTATCAATGTAAAAGATTTACATTATCAATTAATAAAAAATGGTTATTAATATGAATTTTTAAAATAGTTATTACAAAAACAATAAACTTTCGGTATTGACTGTTTAATATATAGCATTTAATCAAAATTAAATAAGAAAAATATCTCAATTTGTTCTTAAAAATTTATTTGTCTTCATTTATTACCATAATTCTTGAAAAAAAAATGTTCTTTCTAGTCCTTATTATGAATTTTTTACTCAAATAATATTATTTTAAAAAAAATTTACTCAAATAGCAACTGTGCAAATTTATTTCTCCAACTAGCACCATTTACTGTTCATGTTTAGAACAGGCCGTTCTGATTTTAGAACGGGCCGTTCCAGTTTAAAAAATAACACATGAAGAATGGATCAGAACGGGCCGATCCGGATTCAAAATTAGTACATAAAAAGTGGAACCAGAACGACCGTTCTGAATCCAGATCGGGCCGTTCTGGCCTATAAATAATTTTTTTTTATTATTTTCACTTATCAAATACCAAAACTCAGAAAATAACATCAAATAATTAAATTTATTAAATATTAACATTATAAATATAACTAAACAAATTTATTAAAATTCAATACAATAATAAAGATCAATGGTGGCGGAAACTGATTATGTTGTTCTCTAATGTCTATCTCTATTTTAATCCTGCTAGACTTTGCCGTAATCACACACATTACATTTAGCCTTACTCTAAATCTCCCAGCGGGTCATGCGAGCAAGGGATATGATCTTTTTGGAACTTGTCGCAATCACACCACATTACATTTAGTCTTACTGTAAATTTTCCAACGGTCATGCGAGTAAGAGATATGAACTTTCTAGAACTTGCCGCAATCATACCTTGCCGCAATCACACCACATTACATTTAGCCTTACTGTAAATTTCCAACGGATCATGCGAGCAAGGGATATGAACTTTCTGGAACTTTCGCAATCATACCACATTTCATTTAGCCTTACTGTAAATCTTCCAATCATGCGAGCAACATAATCAGTTTCCACCAACATAATCAATTTCTCAGCCGGTCAGTCAAAGTCTAGTAGGATTAAAACAGAGATGAATATTAGAGAACAACATAATCAGTTTTCGTTACCATTAATCTTTATTATTGTATTGAATTTTAATAAATTTATTTAGTTATATTTATAATGTTAATATTCAATAAATTTAATTATTTGATGTTAGTTTTTGAGTTTTGGTATTTGATAAGTGAAAATAATAATAAAAAAATTATTTATAGGCCAGAACGACTCGTTCTGGTTTCACTTTTTATGTACTAATTTTCAATCCGAAACCGCCCGTTCTGATCAAATTGTCATGTGTTATTTTTTAAACTGGAACGACTCGTTCTGAACGTGAACAGTAAATGATGCTAGTTGGGGAAATAAATTTGCACAGTTGGATTTTTTAAAATAGTATTATTTGAGTAAAAAATTCCCTTATTATAAGGCATAGTTTAGAAAAAAAAATTTGATCTTTTTTTATAAGGTATCTTATAATTTTTAAAAAGTTTTGTTATTTTTCTTTGTTTATCTTTAATAAAGATTATGAGAATGTATATTTTTTTCTCTAACTTCTTAAATTATCTCCGATTGATATTTATCGTTTTTGTGTGTGTTATCTTATTAGTGTATAATCTTTAATATGAGATAATATTTTCATCTCTCATGAAAATTGAATAATAAATAAGAAAATTAAAATTAGTAAATTATAATTTTATTTTATAAACCTAATAAAATTAACTAATATAACTATTTATATTAATTTGTGTGATTTGATTAGAAGTGTCTTATAATAAATATTAGTAAAAGTATTATTAATCTGATCTTATAATTTTTTTTAAATCACTTGTTTGGTTGGTGTAAAATAAAAGGAAAATAAAGGAGAGTAGAAACAGAAAAATGGTATGTTTTGTAGGGTGGATGGAAATTTTTTTTTTATAAAAAAAATAACAAGAAATAAAGTGAATGAAAATGAATAAAAAAAATAAAGTAGAAAGAGAAGTATTTGATTTAAGAGAAATAAAAGAGAGAGAAACAAAAGTAGTTAAAAATAAAATAACTCATTTTTAATTGATTAAATAAAAAATAAACGCTTTTACGTATAAAAAAGTATTGATAATTAATCGATGAATAACTTTCCATAATTGTTTATCAACAACCTTTCAAACGTACACAAATGATTTTTTACATTCATTCAGGTCACACTGATTATCAACTCCCTTCCACATTTTAATATTATCAAACATATTATAGATCGTTTCTCTATTAATTCTTTATAAACTGGTTATCACAACTTTAATCTTCCATAGGAACCAATGTAATGCCTTAAATTGCACTATTTAAGATGTTTTACACTCCAATATCCTAGTAAGTTGGTCCAACCGTCCAAGAGATAAGGACAACTATTAGTACAACACAACACTCCTTTTGATACTAGTTTGGGTTGTGAAAGAAATTTTCCCACGCGGCAAACAATATACAATATCAGCACTAGGTAACAATCCCCTTGCGTTTCCTTCATTATCTTCAAAACCACTCTTAGGAAAACAAATTTTAAAAATTGAAATAAACTGTCATAAACTAAAGTTAACTTAAACATAAATTGATTTGTAGAAACTCTATTCTATTACTTTTTTAAAATCTTATTTTTAATTTATACACAAGTTAATTTTAATTTATAAATAAATTTATTTTGATTTATATATATATATATATATATATATATTTTATTATTATTTTTTCTTTTCTAAGCACTTCTGAAGAAAGTTATTCAAATAGACGAAAACTAAATAAAGGCAGATCGTATTATTATGCCCAAAAAAGTTTTTTGAAAAAATCTGTATGAGCGAATTAACGCTACCAGACCATACTTGTCCAAACAGATAAGTTTAGGAACACGAAGGTACCTGTTAATGATCATACACACGGAGGAAAAAAAATACAATATGGACAACCAATCATGGCAGAGACAAACAGAACATAGAGTTGTAAAGTTTCAGCATGCAGAACTTGAAACCTATATTGTACAACTCACCACCCAGAATGCAGGAAAAATAAGCTGATCAATCCAGCTCATACAATGGTCCTATCATTTCAACCACTTTCATCAGGGACGACCTTTCACCCCCACATGATTATCAGCCTCCTCGTGTTCACCCCTTGAAAACCAGTGTTTCCCTCGTTCACCTTCTCCACTCTGCTTGAATTATCTTCCCTGCAAGATGAATAGACTAGTTTATGATTATCAATCATGAGAAAACAAAAGCGTACATCAGCATATAGGTGATTCATTTTAAAAATTAGAACTTCACTTCTACCAAGTTGATTTACTACGAATAAAATGAACTGTGCTGTTCGGGAATCTGGATCAAGACACTAAACTATTAGGAACCAAAAACCTGCTCAATTACATTTTTTGTTTGAGATGACCAAGATACCATTTATCCACTAAAGATTGGATAAGTGAATAAGTGAATTTAAACTAACAATTCAATTTTTAAAACCCTTTAAAATAGTAATTTTCTAGGTGAAATCAGAATGTGACGTATTTTCAAACTACTAAATGTGGGAAGGACTATATCATACCATTCCCTCCTTTAGAAGATGGTAGTGTTTTGTCACTTTTGTTGCTCCCTCTGCCACCTGATTGAACTGATTTTTGGGTCTTAGGTGAATGCGAACTAATCTTCTTGTTAGTTGAAGAAGGCTGATACTGTCTCCCAGCTCCAGTAGCGCTGTTTCTCTCAATTTCATCTTGTCCAAACCTTGGGGATCCTTGAGCCCTCAACTTAGCCTTGGCAGATTCAGTTGCAGCCATATAACTTGGTACTTTTGGACTATTCTTAAAGCCATCTTCTCCATTCTCCAGCTTTGCCAAATTCGAGGCTTTACGGGTAGGTTTCTGGCTTTCATTACCAGTTAGCTCTTCTTTATGAATGAAATCTCCATTTGTTAATAGGGAGTTTTCATCTTTGAAAATAGTCTCTGATAGATTTCCCAGCTCATTTTTAACTTCGTCATGAGACATATTTCTATCTATAGTTGTAGTCTCTGCCAAGGTCTTTGATTCTACAGACACCAGATAACTTTTCGTAATGTCAGAAGCTTCCTTGTTAGCTGATGGTCTTGGAGTAATTTCAACATCAGGCACATTGGAGATGGTCAAGGTTGATTCCTTCTTGATCTTTTCATCAGAAGTAATGACCACTTGTTCTGAAACAACATGCCTTGGAATAACTGTTTCTATTTCCAAATGCTGCTTTGGGGTCTCACATTCAACTTCTGGCTGAATAGCATTCTCAACAACAGGGTTATGAATCTTTCTCAAGCTACGTTTAACCTTTTCAAGCTCACTTTGTGGATTTTCTTGCTCTGGATCAGACACCTGGTATGGTATTTTCCTGAAATTACGTTTTGGTTTCTCAAATTCAGGATTTGTTTGCACTGGGACTGGTTCAAAATTTGCAATAGGAAGCTTCCGGTTAGTGCGTTTTGATTTGGTAATATGAGCTTCTCCATTTGAAATATTACTCTGCTTTCTCTGAGGTTTGGTCTCTCGAATTTTCTTGGGTTGGGGAACTGGTTTCCAAAAGTAAGATGCTGACCAGCGCTCCAACCAGCTTAAGACTGAATTTGGATCTCGACTAACATATTGCAGGCGCAGTGCCATTATTGTAGTTGATGAAGCAAGAAGCTGAAACAACAAACTAACATTTTCATATGCTCAATTTGAGTAAAACAGATTAAAAGATAAATTTGATAGAATTGGGTGCTCCAGATAATTTACGCAGCAATATAGGAGAAAACCTCCTTTATTTTCAGGTCCAGATTTAACTGAATTATGGTAAGGACAATATTAGTATTGCACATAAATCCACTCGGAGCAAGTTCAAACATGTTCATATATAAACTTGTAAGGTATACAAAACCACAGGTTGTTAGGTAATGTATAATTCATGCTGAAGGCTCTCAATAGTCGATTCCACTCATAAAATGTGTCATTCTTTAACCTTGCTTAATGTCAAAAATCATCATTACAGTGATTAAAAAATAGAAATTATATACCACATTCTTGAGAAATAAATAATAACTTATGTCAGTATTTGAAATTTTTAAATCCTATACATTTGCGAACAATTAGAAGGGGTGTTGTACTTTCTGTCTCTAGACTACTATCAGGTTGGTTTCATTTACTCATACAGAGAAAAAGAAGAGAACAGTACCCTCCTGTTCTCTCAACCAAGGGGATCTAAATTCTATCTTTTTAAAACTTTAATAAAATAGTATTGTTAGTACTGTTCACTCTCCAATGAAATCTATATGTAAAAATCAAATAAAGAAATATTTGCATCACATGCATGGCATAATTTAAGTTACCTTACGGATGAAAGTATTTGCAGACAGCTTTGAAATTTTTGTGGAAATACCAATTGGCTCACCAAGTTTGCCATCCTGAAGCACAAAATGCACAACACATTCAAAAGGAAAAATCATAGAACCAACAGTAATAGAAAAACAGGGAAAATAACTGAAAAAGGGCTTCTTGGTAAAACTATTTTTAATTTAGGAAAAATTAATCACTGGAGTTGTTAAGTAAATAAGTGGCTATTCATCAACCTCTATTTGTAGTTTTGAGCATCATTATCCAGTTGAGTGGTCAAAGGTTCTCAAATTTACCAAGAATACCTTTTCTTGTAATTTGTGTAATTTCACTAGTATCTCTCATCCTATACAAAAAGTGGTCAAAAAATATTGTAGAACATTATCCTTACAAATTTCTGATTACAATAAAAAGTAATGGATGATCAGACACCACCCCGAATCTAGTAATAATTGATTCAGAATATACCCTATTTATTGCCTACTCAATCCTCATTTTGAATTTCTTACCTGTTCAGCCAAAACTGCTCACATTTAATAACCATTTTGTTCTAATTTGACCCAGATAGTCAGGAACATCATAAACTCACAGTCAGAAAAATGCCTTGAGCAATATAAGTAATAGGATGACAAATCTGATAATTTACAGATTCTTTGAAAGCAGTACCTGAGGCTTAAATAGATTGCGCTTCTCATGGATTTCAATTCCTACATTAGACTGCCTGATCCTTACTCCACGGACAAGTGCTTGCAACTTTACAATCCCATACATACAAGATAATGTAACAACAGCTTGTCTCCTAACCAAGTGCCCACGAATAAGTGCTTGCAACCTTATTATGCCTTTTAAGGCCTTAAATGCCCTGCGAGCCTTCACAAGAGAAGCTTTTGTTAGTTAATATCAAATATTACAATTTTCATGAACTATACAATCAAAACTCCACAAAGATAATTTCAATATGCTAAAAAAATTCATTTTCATATGCCAACTCTTCCAAGAAAATATTTATGCAGTATCAGTACAGTAATAAAGAAATTAAGATTGCAATTTATTTCTCAATGAAGTACGATTACTGTCAAAAGATTTTCATGACTGTAGAAGCTGATATCCAACAGGAAAACATCTGTGAATTAATTTCCACCTTAAGAAAATTCTTATATTTTTTATTTTAAAAAAATGAAGTTAGTTGCCATATTGACTTGACTGTCCTTTTGAGTAATAAACATGCCAGTCTCAGATGTAATATTTTATAAAATTAGATCATAAATTAAAAGAAAAATTAGGGGTTGGGAAGGGGGGGTGGGGTGGTGTATAGAAGTCAAGTGATTGATTCTAACTCTAAATACCATATTTAATTTCAAAAAATGAGTTCTAGAGTATTAACAGCAAATCTTCTTCTTAACCTATCAATTACTTAGTCAACCAAAAAAACCTTTAAGAGGAACAGGAATTAATAACAAGTATTAGAAACCAAGGAGAAGAAATCCTTAACGAAGGAAAAGTACTGCTCAATAAACACAAACATGAATACTGAAATGAAGAAATGCGGAAATAAGAGAAAACACCCAAATCTGATTACACCCAAAAAAAAATTATCTAAGCCACCAATTCACCCCCAGAATTCTACTATGCTCCTCCACTATTCCCCTTTCCCCTTTAATTCATGTTTCCTTTTCTGTCGTCCATCATTGCACAATTCTCCTCTCCAAAACCTTGCTGCCACCTGTACATTCTGCTTTGCTTTTCCCTCCATTGTTTCCTCCTTACTCCCAGCAGCATTCCTATTTCTCCTCGCATAAACACAATTTCCCTTGGCCCAATGCTCACTGGCCTTCTTTCCTTTTTTTCTTCTATTATGTATGTGTCAAAGGCTCACCAGCTTTCAAGTGAGATATTATGACAATTAAATTTACAATCATAATAGAAAATAAGTTTCACAATTTATTTGTCCTTTTTATGGTCTACTAGATATCTTACCCCAGAGCACACTTAAAAATTATAATGTTTTATACTAAACAATAATAAGAATTTAATCACTTTTTTTTACATCAAGAATTTAATCACTTAAGGTGCTCTAAAACAGTAAGACACCTACCAAGTAACCCCTGAAAGCAGCTTGTGCCTTCGTTGCTGCTTCCTCCTGCCTAATTTTCTCTGGATCAAGTGGTGCATCTGGGTCAACAGATCCCATAATGTCTCTTTCTTGATTTCCAGGTAAAATATTTTCTGATTCTTCATTCTCCAGTTCATGGTCGTCCTCATTTGTAGCAATCTCATTAGGAGTTGGATCTAAGGCCAAACCATTTTCCAACACATTGGTAGCGAACACTTCTTTTTTATTAACAAGCTTCTACACGAAATTACAGCAAAAGAAGTCAGAAGTTACACCAAGGAAAAACATAAAATATACGCTTATTTCTCCATGGAAGTTATATTTTTAGTAGTACACCAGTTATATGCCCTAGCTGCATTTCTGGTTTATAATGTTAGGTGTTTGGCAATGAAAAAGTATACTATAGTGGCAATGCTACCATAGCAAAATGTTGTTTTACAGCAATAAATGTCACAGACAGGGAACTGACTATTGGCCTTTATTGGAGAACAAAATCCATATTATGGATGTACACATGCAAGTAATATGAAATATATTGTAACATTGAATAGAGTTGTGACATTGCTTGAACAGTTGAACTAATTGCAATACCTCTCTTCCTTTAGAAATATTTGATTTGGATGACTTTTTACCAAATAGTACAGTTTTGATCCATTTTCCTGGTGATTTCCCCATTCTGAGATCACAAGCTGAAGCAGAAGAATAGTGAATATAAAGCAGGAATCTTAAGGTATGAATACATTATGTTATATTAAGATGCTACACAATTTCAAACACAAACAAACTATATTATAGGAAAATATAATTTAGCAGTTTTTTTTATTTATTTAAGAAATTGTATCTCTTTCTGAGTTTCTCTTTATCTCATTTAGTTTAACTATGCCAGGAACTATTTTTAAAGACTTAAACTGGTAACTCATTTATGTTTTTCTGGGTAAAATGGGATAACAGCTTTTGCTATAAGGAAATTCTTACTCAAGAGAATAAAAACTTACCGTTTCCTCAATGAATAGGTAATTAACAAGAGAATGATTTCCCTAGAATCCCTACTAATGATTGACAAAGTGGGGTGACACGCTCACCAATCAGCCAATTTTATAGCAAAAAGAGAAAGGTAGGCCAATGTATTTGACACTATACATTAAGTGAAATAATGACCAACAACTGTAAACAGTAGAAAGACATAATAATCAAAATTGATCGCATCTATTCTCTTACGCAATAATAATACTGCACCTAATCATGGGCCACCCCACTCATTACCTTAATATGTTGTTGTCACCGACAATAATACTGGACAAAAATTAAATTATTAAACAAAAAACACAGGTCCACTGACAATTACCAACTGGAATTTTTTCGAAAATCTCAACAATTATAGTTCAGTAATAATCAAGAAAGCCACAAACAACAAGCAAGTCCTCAAACTGAAGCAACAAATCAAACACACCCAAAGGAAAACACAGAATTAGAAACAATTAACAAGATCTGGTTCAAGCAAGGCAAGAACTAAACATATGAAATTGGTGCTAATTGCTAAACTTTACTCATGAGAAGCTAGATCTGACAATTACCTGATGAACGTGGAAGGTCTTAGCCTCAAATCTTACAATTCCTATGAAACACAACCAAATTGGAAGAATGAGACCACAGAATTAAAATACTCATTGTTCTTCTCCTAGTTTTGTTTTTTTGTTTTTATTCACAATAGTAAGATAACAATTAAAAAGCATTAACATGTTCAATGGAGAAGATACTAAGAAGAGAAGAGATAAAGAGAGAAAGGTTGTGTACCATGGAAGAGAGTGAAACTGAAAATGAGAAGTAACGAGTAAAATGTGACCTAAAGCTTCGTCAATTTATTAGCTGTTGCATTTGCATGCTGTCATGTCTTTGCAGGAATGAGAGTTAAAATGGAAAAAAAAAAAAAAAAAAAAAAAAAACACTAATGTCTGAAACTGAAACCGAAACTGAAAAACTTGGATTATTTGTTCCGTTTGGGAAAGGACGGGGTGTGGTAACCACTAACCGAATATTTGGCGGCAATTCTTATCGTGACCGTTGATGCGATGACTCAACTTGATCGTAGGGTGGAGGGTGTGGGTTGTGATAAAATGCTTTTGGGTGCAGTGGTTGTGGTGGGAGTGCCGGTGCAGTTACTTAGGAATCAAGTGTCCCAGCTCCTTTATTATCAAATGACATTCTTGTCCTTCAGTGGAAATGCGAATCTCACGCGCTGAGGCGTTCAGGGGAACGGGTGTGCCAAGAAATTATTTACAAGTGTTACTCCCATATGACACTCACTTATCTCTATTGTAAGTAATATATATATATATATATATATATATTTATTTATTTATTTTAGTAGAAGATTAATTCATGTTATAGAGTCATCCATTCTTATTTATTAAAGTTAATACTTTTGAGTAAAATAAGAAGAAAATATAAATTATTTATTTAATACACAACATTTTGGTTGCACTATTTCTTTTTTGATACTTATGATAAGTATAATTTTAAAAAATATTATAAAAATAATAAATTTAATATAAATAATTAATTTTTTAATCAATTTTTCATTTATAATAGAGAACAGAGAAAGTATTTATGTTTTTAATTATAAGCAATAAATTAAAATTTTTATTTTAATTATAAATTATAATTATTAGTTTTTAAAATTATTTAAGATTAGTTTTTTTTTAATATTTTTTATTTATCGCTAATTTTATTTTCTATGAATTCACTTATAACTAACATTAAATATAAGTAAAAAGTATATTTGAAATAAAATTTAAATTTATGATAAAATTAATTAAAAATAATTCTATTAATTATTTTTTTTATCTCGATAATTTATCTTATGTCATTTATATTTATAATTAAGTATAAAAAAAATATTATATAATATTTAACTAATTTCTATATGACATATAATTAAATATTAGTTATTAAGATTAAAATATTAAAATATATTACTTACTAATTTTGAATTAACTAATAATATCCTGAAAAAGGAAAGATAGAAGTGAAATGGAAGCGCGTGGGAAAGTAGTTGTGTTGGGAATGGAGTTAGTTGGTATATGGGAGCCAATGAGCCATGGTGGCAATGAGGGGGACCTGTTGTGTCGGGTTGGTACTAATAGTGGATAATTAGAGTGGGACAAAACAAAACACTTTAAACAAAACACTTTAATATTTTTTTTTATATTTTATGTAGGGTAGATTTATTTTAGAAAAGTTACAATGATCCTTGGTTTATGCTCTCTATTTAGTTTACTCTCTAATCACAACTTTTAACTTTTTTTTTTTCCAAGCTTTCTTACTCTCACATGATGTGCTTTGAAATTTAATTGGGAAGTTGGTTTTATTCATATTGCTCGAATTTAATTTAAATACTATATTCATATTGTTATTCTTTCTGGTACTGGGGAAAATAAGTTTATATTATTATTTAATAATAAGTTATTATTTATACAATTTTTTGAGTTTTGTAATAATAATTTAACAACTTTTTTAAAAGTTACGTTTATTTTCACTATATCATTTATGTTATATATTTACTAGTTTTACATCTAATTAATTTATATTAAGAAATCTAACTATTTTTTTAAAGTAAAATGTCTCTTCCTAATTATATTTTTTACATTCGTAATAATTGAACAGAAGACATTACTTAAAAATATTAGTTCAGTTTCACTCATATTAACAAATTTTTAATAACATAATCGTTATTAATTAAAATTACAAAAATATTTTTTTTATTAATAATGTATAAAAAATAAACTTATGTTATATATATATATATATATATATATATATGTACGCAGATGTGTATTTAAAAATGTTCCTTATTGAAGTATTGTAATAAAAATGTATTATTTATAATAAAAATTAGTTTCAAGGGTGGAACAAATATGTGAATTTTTTAGAAGATAATTTATCACAAAATTATTCATAAATAAAATATTTATTAGTCAGATTTAAAATTTATAATATGAAGTGATATTTTTTTAACTACCGATCTACTGTTTTTTTTTTTTTTTTTTTTTTTTT